CATCCACAATAGGTCCCAACCCCACAGTCTCCACCGACCGCAGCACTCCACCACCGATTAACGGGAGTTGCAGGAGCAGTGTCTGGCAGCAAGGACAGCACATGCAGACAGACCCCCTCTGCTGACCCGCCTGGGGGCCGCGGGGACAAACCAACCACCCTCAGGACGATGACTCCGGCCATGACTGGTTCGGCTTTTTAGAAATTATTACTCGAATTAAATGTAAGCATAAGAGAAATGGACGTTAGGCCGTGCACACGCCAGTCGACAACTAAAACCACATTTTGCACGCAGTGAAAGTTGGCACAACCTCCCATCTAGGTTGTGGGGCAGTAGACGAGAGGCAAGGACAATGTGGCCTTGTCTAGACTGGCCCGTTTTTCCGGAAAATCAGCCACTTTTCCGGAAAAACTTGCCAGCTGTCGACACTGGCCACTTGAATTTCCGCAAAAGCACTGACTTCCTACTGTAAGAAATCAGTGCTTCTTGCAGAAATACTATGCTGCTCCTGTTTGAGCAAAAGTCCCTTTTGCGCAAAAGGGCCAGTGCAGACAGCTCAGATTTGTTTTCTGCAAAAAAGCCCCGATGGCGAAAATGGCGATCGGGGCTTTTTTGTGGAAAAGCGCGTCTAGATTGGCCACAGAGGCTTTTCCACAAAAAGTGCATTTGCACAAAAGCCTCCTGCCAATCTAGACGCTCTTTTCCGCAAATGCTTTTAACAGAAAACTTTTCCATTAAAAGCATTTCCGGAAAATCATGCCAATGTAGACGCAGCCTGTGTGTGGGTGAGAATAACGGACACACTCGGTGTGTGTGTCAGACAGACTTGCACTGTTAAACTCCCCCCATGCCTGTCTCCGAGGCAGTGAGCGGGTGCAGCATGACCGTGGGCGGATGCTCCGTCCCCATGTCCACTCCAGACCCCACCCCACCTCCCTATCTTCACTTCTCCCAGCTCTGCAGAGCCGAGAAGGGGGCACGACAGGACTTGGGATGGAATTTGCCGCCTGCTGTTGCGAGCGGTACACGGCCAGAGAAGTGAGCCTGTCTTAGCTCCACTGCGCCACCCCCAAGAGACTGAGGGGGGATAGGACAGAGGTCTATAAAATCATGAGTGGTGTGGAGAGGGCGGATAAAGAAAAGTTATTTATTAGTTCCTATAATAGAAGAACTAGAGGACACCAAATGAAATTAATGGGGAGCAGGTTTAAAACTAATAAAAGAAAGTTCCTCTTCACACAGCGTGTAGTCAACCTGTGGAACTCCTCGCCAGAGGAGGCTGTGAAGGGTAGGACTAGAACAGAGTTTAAAGAGAAGCTAGATAATTTCATGGAGGTGAGGTCCATAAAAGGCTATTAGCCAGGGGATAAAATGGTGTCCCTGGCCTCTGTTTGTCAGAGACTGGAGAGGGATGGCACGAGACAAATCACTTGATCATTGTCTTCGGTCCACCCTCTCTGGGGCACCTGGTGCTGGCCACTGTCGGTAGACAGGATACTGGGCTAGATGGACCTTTGGTCTGACCCAGTACGGCCGTTCTTATGTAACGGGGGAGGTAGAGAGGATGGAGCGAGCGTGGGCAGGGTTCAGAGAAGGGGCACAAAAGAGTCGGGGGAGGGTGTTTGGGTTGGAGGTTGCGCTTCGATCACAGTGAATTCAGCATGTGAGCTCGTACGTAAAAAAAGGATGGAGACCAGTGGCCTACAGGTTCACTCGCACCCTACTAGCCATGGCTGGACCTAACCTCTGTGAATCTATGTAGCTGTCTTTTGAACCCTGTTACAGTCCTGACCTTTACACCATCCTCCAGCAAGGAGTTCCACAGGTTGGCTGCGTCAAGAAAAACTTTGGTTTGTTTCAAACCTGCTTCCTCTTCATTTCATTCCCAACCCCTCATTTTTGTCGCCCTTCTCAGAACGTTTTCCAATGCCCCTGTATCTTTTCTGAGACACGGCGCCCACGGCTGTAGGCATCCCATGGTTTTCTACAGAAGCCATAAGAGATTCTGTCTTATTCGCACTCCCTTTTTCAGGGCTTCCTAGTGCTCTGAAAGGCGGAGTTCAGTTCCTTGCCACTGCTACTCCCCAGCAACCCATGGAAGAGCAAGTTGCCTCAATTTCTCCCAGGGCTGGGGGGGAATCCTCATGCTTCAGGTTTTCCCCCTGGGCCGGGGTCAGGACAGGACCCCCCCCACCTTTACCCTTAGTGGGGTCGTAAAAACTCTCCAGCCGCTGACGCATCAGAGGTGACCACAGAGGGCGACGGGACAGTGAGAGGGAAGGAGGGAGGGGGGCCAGGCTGCTAAGATCTCTCCTTCACCCCAACTCCTGCCCAGGCACTGCTGCACCCAGTCTACCTCCCACCACCTTCATGGGGAGGGGGTTCCATGAGTGCTTACGGAGTGCCCACCCCCGGAGGACAACCTGAAGAGGGCCTGCTATAAAGCAGGCCAAGACCCGGCGGAGTGGCCGCACACGGCCTCGCGCTGGTTATAAGAGTCCCATTGGCAGCGGGTCTAACTCGGCTTTCGCCCCAGAGAAGGATGGGAGGGGAAAGCGAGGCAGAGAAGGGCAGGCCAGGGCTCCTAGTGGCCGGCTGTGCCCCACAGCTGCGCTGAGGCAGGGACGATCCATTGCAGAGTTGTTTGCAGCCCGGAGCGTCCCATTGGCCTTCCCAGGCGCGCTGCTTGTGAAAACGGAATTCCGAGTCGCCGGAGGTCAGACATTGAGAAATTAGCCGCCCGGTGAGATTTTTCTGAAGAGCCCCTCCTACCCAGGGAACAAAGCAGGAAAATCCCCAGGGCCCCCAAACCAGCATGGTCCCCACCCTCCCCGGTCATGTTCCCGCTAGTTTTCTCCAGCCATGTGCAGAATAAATTTCTATGTGCACTGGTGTGCAGGCGAATGTGTCTCCGGGCGGTGTACGCGCTGCCAGCGGTGGGCACTCTGCCCATCTGCAGGGCAGCCCTGGAATCTCTCCTGAGTAGATGCCAGTGGGGGCAGTTTGGGGGAAACGTAGCCCCCCTCGGCCTTCATTACGCAGCGCCCCAGCCCACGTCTAGGTGCAATTTTAGTCGCCTTCGGCACAACACCGCCACGATATCTTTACACAGCCAGGCCGGCAAGACGGGAGCCCCCGCCGAGCCAGGATGGGCACCGCGGCCG